GCTATTATCTATACTCATAATCATGCCGATCATGTGTTTGGAGCTGAAGTTTTAGCTGGCAATAATTTATCAAATGTGAAAGTTTATTCACATTCAACAACTCGAAAAATTTTGGATACAACCTTAGGCATAGTTCAACGGATTACTTATCAAAGAGCAGCAAGACAATTTGGAATGTATTTAACGGAAGAGAATGGTGCTATTAATGATGGAATTGGTTTACATTTAAAATACGATAAAAATAGTACAAGTGCACTACTATATCCAACTGATACATTTGATACAGATAGTTGGAATTTAACAATAGCTGGTCGAGATTTTGTTTTATATCATGCACCAGGTGAAACAGATGATCAAATTGTGATTTATATGCCTAAAGAAAAAGTTTTATTTGCTGCTGATAATATTTATAAAGCCTTTCCAAATATTTATGCAATTCGTGGAACAACTACAAGAGATGCTATGCAGTGGGTTTCTTCTCTTGATTTAATGCGAAATTTAAGAGCAGAATATTTAATTCCTTCTCATACAAAACCTATATCTGGAGCAGAATATATCTATGAAACAATAACAATTTATCGAGATGCAATGCAGTTTGTTCATGATCAAACTGTTCGATTCATGAATAAAGGATTTTCACCCGATGAAATTATTGGAAATACACTAATTCAATTGCCAAAACGTTTACAAGAGCATCCTTATTTACAAGAGTTCTATGGCACTGTAGATTGGTAAGAGAAGCAGATCTATTTTCTACTTAATCTAAGAAAAATCACGCGAAGCAATGTCTTACGGCAATATAATGTCGCCATTAGTAACACATTATATTTTAGTGTTGTAATTTTCAAAAAATTTCAAAATTCACCATCAATTTTGATAGTTTGGTCTCAAAGATAGAGTTTTTCGCAAGTCTATCATGAAAACTTAATCAAGTATAATTAAATAGTACAGAAAATGCCTCACGTATCCTTAATTTTAGGTCAATGCTGATTGTATTAGTTTGTATTCAAATAGAACAATCGAAACTGATAAATTTTCACTCAAAAGCTTAGTCAAAATCTGAATACAAAGTTAAAAAAGATTAACGAGGAGATCTGTTGCTTCACATAATTATTTTAGTATTATCCCTCTTCAAATATAAAATCTGAACAGGAAGTTCTTTTTAAAATGCAAAAAGTTTGCAAGTTTTGAAATTCGATTCTTTAGCCGGATTAATGAACCACAGATTTTTGTTAACCGAAGAAGAAAAAACTTATCTATACAATGCAAAACTCAGACATAGATACTACTTAAGAATATCCATTTCTCTAGATTTTCAAAATTACCAATTGATTTAAAGTGTTAACTTCATTAGAAACTTATTGATTAGGATAATGTCATCGTCTTCCATCCATAATAATCTTCTTATCATGAAAACTATATCAGAAGTTCTTGTATTTTTTCTTTCAGGAGTATTCGAGCTATTTTTGATCGATATATGGGTTGGTACAGCGGTAAATCATCTGATTTAAATCCTGATCCTCCAAATGTTCGTGCACAAAATCTTATTCAACTCGGTGGTGGAAGTAAAAAAGTACTTGAAAGTGCCCAAACTGCATATTTAGAACAGAAATATCAATGGTGCTTGGAATTAACTGAAGCTCTCAATATTTATCCTGAAGATTTAAATAAATCTGAAATTATTCAATTACAAGTTTCAACATTACAAAAATTAGCTTCACTTCAAACATCAGCAAATGGTCGTAATTGGTATTTAACAAAATCATTGGAAATTCAAGGTTTAATTGAAATTAAACCATCGCCTACTCAAGTAGCACAGACAATATTAAAGGCTCCATTGAAAAATATATTTATGTTATTACCTGTAAATCTAAATTATCATAAAGCCAATGATGTTAATCAACTGATTTTATTTCATTTTCAAGATACGAATGAAAAATTTAGTATTCATATACGTAATGGAATAGCTGATGTTAAATTTCAATGGCCTGAAAATATTCAATCAAATGCTATTGATATAATTATTGAAATGGCAAAAGAAGAAATTTGGAGAGAAGTGATTGCACGTATAAAAAATCCATTAGCAGTTCTTTCAAACGACGAAATAATACTTAAAGATGGAAATGGAGAAATAAATCCAGAACTAACAGTTCCATTTCTTACGTTTTTATCTATGTTTACATCCGAATAATTTTCTTATTAATTCTAGATGTTAGATGATTTGACAATTTCTTTTTCATATAATAAAAAAATGCTCTTAAAACAAATGAACCTTTAAGAAAATTGTAGTTTTAGGTGAAGATTGCTCGAAAACGTGAATTATTGAAAGCAATTTTTTCTCTGTTTTTTTTTGCATCCACTAGTAATTGTAATTTAGCTACAAAAGAAATCCGAAATGAACTTCTTTAATCACATATAATCTTCAAAATGGCACGTTCTCATTATCCATATAAGAAGATCGAAATCTAAAAATGCATTTGAAATGATATTATTCCGTAAGTTCATCGAACATCGAATCATATGAATCTTGTTGCATCTCGATGCACATAATAATTCATTTTCAGTACCAGCAAACACATTTGTCTTGTTTCTCATTTTCATATAAAAGTATTTAGATTCAGTTCGTAAGCAAATACTCATTCATATTAGTATTTAAAGAGAAGACTGTAGTTGTATGAAAGTAAAATGAATTTTTCATTTTCTGCAGTGCACTAGAACCGTGGATTTACAATCTACAAATATAGGAAAGGCTGTAGTTTTCATTGTAGTTCGCTCAAAAGTATTGAGTATAATACCGATAGCATTTGGTCGAGTTTTTGTAAATTACATCTAATGAACAACGTTTTTCAAATTACTGTTGGCAATGTTTTATTTTCCGCCTCCGAATTAACTTCTTCGTTCTCGATATCTGCCGAGAATCGATCTGTCTTCTTGAAAATATCTTCAATTTTGCAGAGTTGATTGATATAGTCGATGACAATTACCTTGTTCAATGATGTCATTCAGACTAATCAAAATAATCTTGCCACCATTGCCTAACAGTGAATTACATTTAAAAATGATCTTCAAAAAAAAAGTATCTCTCAGCTTAAACAACTTGTCTAACCATTTTGATAGACTCCATGTTCAATTGAAAAGATTGTGAGCCAAAAAAACTACTTGAATAATTTGAAAAAAGAAAAAAAAATAAGTAAAACCTATATATGCTAGAATTTTATATGACTTCATCGATGGAAGAAATTTAAGTGACAGTATTTTTCTGTAAATATTAATTGTCATTCTATAATAAGAAAAGTGATTGATCAATGATGAAAAATGCTTTTACGGCTAATTTCGCTATATACATATAAGTGTTTTTTATTAGGACCGAACGATTTTTTAGAAACAATGAATAAACCATATCGAAGAATTAATAATCAAACATTAGGAATTTATGGAACAACTAGAAAGTGAACAAATTTGACTATTTTAAATTATGAATCAAAGGAGTACTCGGATGAAATTGTGGCTTTTTATTGAATTATGTGCTTCGCGATCAGTGTCTATATCAAATGCAAAGATTCTTTAAAAAAAGCAATAGTATAATTGCCAAGAAATTACAGTTGCAAACTGAAACCCATTTAAATATTTTCTTAATTAGATCTAGTGGAAATTATTTGTTTATTGGTCTATAGAACGGTATAAATCGAGAGTTTTTCATTATTCATGAAGTGTAATATAGTCAGTGAAAACAAGTCACGTAAATGAAAGATATTATAACAAATCTTATCTATTTCATGAGGAGAAATACATGTAAATATAGATAGGTTAGGCAAAGGATACTTAGATAAATAAAGTGATATAGATGCATCAAAAACAAACTTGTAGTTAAGAGACGAGAAAAATTTAATGATCGGGTTATGTAAATAGTTAGTCAACAACATTTTTTCTCTGGTGAATAAATCTTCAAATAAATCATAGTTGCTTTAAAATTGGATATAAGAAAGAAATATTAACTTTTTCTCCTCACTACTATGATGCTAAATTGGTTGATGTTGTGAAAATTTGTTTGTTTATCAAATACATTTGCATAAAGTATCATATTTTAGATTCATTCATTTGTTAATATGTATTTTTAGATGTGAAGCAAATGAAGTTTTTTTCTTATATATTGTATAGTATACTAGTTATATGTTCAAGTGCCATTTATATTCACAATCTTGATTCGTTCAAATTGGATAATAATGTAGCGCTAATACAGAACGGTACCTGGACAAATGGTATGATATAATGATTATTCATAACTTATTGAGCTATTTAAAAATGTTAATGAATGGGATTTGAAAAGAGAGTTTTTTTTTTCGTTTAACAAATGTACTGAAAAGATAGGAAATAAATCTAATTTAACTGTAAATCAAAACTATGTTTTATTATTAGGAAAACCCACGATTATTGCCATGATGTCATATGCATAGCAGCGTAATATGACTTTTCTAAGAAAGATTTATTTAAAACTATTGATTTAAAATTCATTTTTTAATTTTTCTATTGAGAATCGACACCTGATTCATCAACACAAATATTGTCAGTGACCTCTGAATCACAGATTTCTACCGGTATGGATCATTCCACATCAAAACGTTCAACAACTTCAATAGGTATTTATTTTTTTAATTATAAATAAGTTTTTTTTTTATAGATTATCAACGTGCTATGCAATTAACATCGGTTCTTTTACATATATTAAAATATTTACTGATTATTGTTTTGACTTTTATAAAATGCATCTTCTGATCGCAAACATTGTACTCGAAAATTTCGACAAACTGCCTATAGATTCAAAATCTTCAGCCTCGAAAACTTCCAGTGAAGTTTTATTTAAAAGAAACTGTTCATCTCAGGCAATAGCCTTGTTTTAATCCAAAGAAATCGATTTGAAATTGTATCATTTCAATTTCTATCTTTTTTTTCAAAATTCTTGAGCATCATATCAGCACCTTCAGGTACAATTTGATACATTAATGCTGTACTTTATTTTAGCATCATCAACATCAAGTGATACTTCAAGTTTTTTTACAGAACATCTACCAATTCTAATAGCAATAGTAGGTAGTACGATTGTGGGTGTTGTAATATTGACTGTTATTTGTTGCTGGTGTCAGCGACGACGACAACGACGAAAGAGATATTTTGATTCAAGAAGTAAGCATTTCATTTGGGTGAATGCTAATCAAGATGTAATGAAATTTTATTTGTAACATACATTTCAATAGTTTATATGATAATTTAGTGTTCAACAAAATCTTTCGATTTAGTTCTTTTGTAGTTGTATCACAGAAAAAATTGACAGTTTAAGGATCGATCATGGCATTAAATTATTAAAAAATTAATAGTCATTGTCAATAATAACTGCTCGGCTTAGAGTATACCATTTTTAATAATTCTTATCTTATTGTTTGTCAAGGTGATCGATCAAATTCTGAAATATCCCGTAATGATTCAATAGAAATGAAATCAATATCTCCGAGAATATCTTCAAATAAAAGATCTTTACCATCAAAAGTTAATTACAAGTGTGGTCATATGAAACTAGCAAAAGAATTCGTTTCATCTCTTAATTGGGTCGAAAGTCTATTCAATCCTTTTTATGATGCATGCTATTGCAAGAATTGTTATCCTTCTGAATGTGAAAACGTAACAGCAGCGGGCAATGCAGAATACGTTATTCCTCGTGAATGGGTGCGTTTAGGTCTTCGTGTTGATCCAGTTATTCAAGAGCACCATGATATTTGGAATAAATGGATTGTAACCTTTCATGGAACTAGTATAGTAGCTGCACATTCTATTCTTACTAATCGTCAGTTTTGTTTACCCGGAGATATACTCATCGATGGAACTGTATTAGGTATTCATCCAGGACATATTCCAAATAAAAAACATATTTATACATCGCCGACGATCGCATATTCAAGTTTACCAGTTTACAGTCCAAAAAAACAATTTCATTCATCAAGAACTAAACTAGCTTATGAAGTTCAGGTTGTTTTACAGTGCCGACAAAAACCAAGATCATTTACAGTACAAGGTGAAACCATTGGAGCTAAGTCGAAACGTATTTGTAAATTTATACCTAATGAACAAGTCGAATATTTTACTGAAATAAGATCATCGATTGTTCCCTATGGGTTACTTGTACGATTTCATAAAGTTTTAGATGATGATGATTTTTAAATAATACATTGTTCTTATTCTTTCAACATTGATAAAATAATTTATTCAAATAAACCTTATGAAATCTATTTGTTTTCATTTTCATGTTGTTTATTATGAATAAAAACCTTGTAACAAAGATATAAAATAGGATAAAACTATTAAAAATTTCAAAGAAAAGAATGAAAATTTCTCAACATTTACGAATTTTTGTATCCTATGATGAATTCAGATAAATTGTTAAGAAAAAAAAGTGATTAATAATAATTTAATAATTACTATACAGAGGAAGGAAATAAGAAAGAATACTCCTACATTTCAGCTACTTTATAGTATTTCATGCGATCCTATGGCAGATAAAGTAGTATGATGTATTCCCTACAACTAAAATTAACCGTAGCTCTGGACAGAAGATCAACCTGATACAGAATTCTTTCGTTCAATAGGTTGAGCTTTCTCCATGCACACGAACTAATCCATAAGAGCAAATGTATGTGGCAGCGTAGTCAGCATGTCATCAAAATGATGATTCAAGATCAACAACTGTTAGTGACTTGTCCAGGATTATTTCGTGGTTGGTGATACCGAGGTTTGAACATGTTATCATGTGGACGTCTGCCGAATAACGTAATCACTCTACCCCCAAGTTGCCATTCGATGGGTATTTCGAGATGTCGATATGAGCTTTCCGATGGGTTGACGAAATTGTAATTTTGTTACCCATCGACGGCCCCTCGACCTATCCGAAAATGGGACTCCGACGGCTCTGTTTGAAATTTCGANTTTTCGAGCGGTCGAAATAGGTCCGAGTAGTCGAAAATAAATGTCCGATAGGAATATGCTTCCGAGCACTCGAGACTCGGTAGGCATCGAGGGGCTCGAAATTCGAACAGAACGAGAAAAAAACAAATATATTCAAGTTTCGACCACTCGTCGCACCCATCGTTGGCTTCTCATGGTCTGCTTGGACCAGGCGACCTGCTCTGTAGAGAGAACTACAATCAACTAGATATTATCTAGTAATGTTAAATATGTAATTATGTGATACATAAAATATTGCAATTAGATTTGACACTAAATACATCACTAACATGTCAGAACCATTAGCAAAAAACTAATAATGATAATAAATAGAGACAAATAATTTCTCTTTTTCGTGATAAACTTTTTTATGACAAACATGTCAACTTTAGAAAAAAAAAAATATGATGAAAATATTCACAAACTAACATCCAATAAAAAAACAAAATCTGTTCTGCTAATTTATATGATAACGTCTTTTGATCAAGGTTCTCTTTTTTTTTTCAAAAGATATTTATATAGGTATGAATATTCATATGTCTCAATTAAGATTATTTTTCTCTATATATATTCTTTAAACCTACTCACCTCTCCAACAAACGATAATTAGTTGAATCAAACACTGACTCATCAATTTATTCTATCACTCGAAGGAAAGAACAAAAAATTATCGGCAAAATATGATTGATCTTGTACGATGGATGAAAAAAAAATATGCATCTCTCTTTATTCTTGTTTATTTATTATCCAATATACACATGACTACATAAAACTTCGACAACAGTCTATTGAAGGTTATTGCGTGTAAGTTAATTAGTTTTTTTATGAAATACATGTAAATTAAAAATAAAATAAATAAATAAACATTCAATTTATTTACAAAACAATTTTATATCACAAACTATATTCTCTTTGTAATAATAGACAATAATACATTAATAACATGCAATCATTTATGAATCGTGATTATGTATGTTATACTATGCAACCATTAATAAAAGAAGAAATAACTATTAATAATGGACTTTCAAGATCAAAAACAATTAATGGAAACTTTTCTAAATCATATAAACGAGAATTAGAACATCTATTGAACTATTCAGCTAGCAATTTAAAATATACATCGAAGCGTCAAGCAAATTATGTACATAAAATGAATGAAACAATCGATATATTAAATAGTATACCTTTAATTATATTAGCTAGTATAACTTCACATAGATTTTATATTTCTATTCGAAACATAACTCGAGATCTTTTACTCGACTGGTATTCTTCTTATGAATTAACTGAAGAAGAAATATATCTTTTATATAATTGTATTCGTTTTTTTCATCGACTTGTTAATGCTATTAAAGATGTAACAAAACTTGCATCATGGTTACTTGATCGATCATTTATAAATGCATTAGCTAAATGTATGAATGATATTGATCGATTACTTTCTTTTAATGAAGAAAAACAAAATTTCGAACACCTTTCAAGTCTTTTCGATATGTTTAATACATTTTATCAACGATTACCTTCAAAAATACAATATGAAAATGAATTTTATCGATTATTTGAAGCAACAATGGATTGTCTTGTTTCTTCAAATTATGAACGAGCATTTAAACAATTAAAAACTAATGCTCAATCAATAACAACTAAACAAAAATTTTTTCTTATTCAATGTCCATCTTTTTTTACTATGTACAATGGTAAGAAAATCATTCTTTGAATTGTTTTTTTTTTTAATTTTCTTTCTTTTTTCAAGGATCATACTCTGATGAGATTATGAAACAATTGTTAGATACAATGGTAACTCGTTATGCATCTATACTTGATAAACATATTCAATCGATAAAAAAATGGAAATCTTCAATCATTCATGTTGTTTATTATGTTTTATTAACTATTACTCATGCTAAAAGTTTTTATACACCATATGCTAGTGGTCAACCATTCCAATGGCTTATTGATAATATTATTAGTATACTCAGTGAATCTTCTCTATTAAAAAAAGTCAATGAAAACATAAAAACACCTGAAACAATATTAATTAATTCAGCTCTTCATACACTTACTGTATTTATTCATGAACCTGATCTGCTTGTATATATAAAAGAACTTAAAATAACACCCCTATTTCGTTCATTAACATCATTACCTAATGAATCTATTGTTATTCATGGATATATTATACTTTCGTATACATTAGAAGAAAATGATATAAAAGCATCAGAAAAAGATTCTGGTCGTTTACTTTCAAATATATTTGATTTATTAAGAAAAAATATTCGATCATTAATAAAAACAAATCAAAATATCGAACTTATTGAATGTAATATTTCTTTACTTGTTGAAACTGTTCAAGGTAATAAATAAAAATCTGTGTGTGTGTGTGTTTTTTGAGTTTAATTTCTTTCTTTTGATTGTTTTTTGAAAAGTTCTTCTTCAACATGATCAAATCAAAAGTGAACTATTAAAACAAAATGCATTATCTTTATTAATTGATAATTATCAACATCTTAATGATCAATCAAAACGATTATTACTTGATTCTCTTGGTTCAATAACATTTGATAAAGAAGCAGCAAGTAGATTACGTGAAAATACACAATTTATTAATTCAGTTGAAATTATGCGAAAATCATCTAATGATGGAATTAAAAAAGCAGCAGAAAAAATTATTTGGAATCTTTTTGAAGGTAAATATAATAATATTATAAAATGTCTATTTGAGTTATTGTTTATATTATCTTTTTCTTTTCGTATATAGAACCCGAAAAGATGGCTCAACAAAAAGAGAAAACAATTAGAGAAAGTACTGATTCGATTGATGAACAACAACAAGAAGAAGAAAAAGATAAATCTAAAGTAGAAGAATATCTTTATGATATAATGATATCTTATTGTCATGCTGATAAACAACTTGTTAATAGAATTCATAAATTTCTTGTTGATAAAGGGTTTAAAGTTTGGATTGATCGAGATAATATATATGGGCCAGGTAAAGTTTAAAAGTCTTTCATTAAAAATAATTATTTATTTTTAGCAATGCAAGCTATGGCTGATGCTGTAGAAAATTCTGAATTTGTTATTATTTGTATGTCAGACTCCTATAAACGTAGTGTTTACTGTCAAGCTGAAGCTGAATATGCATTTCGTTGTAAACGACGTTTAATACCAATCATTGTACGTCAAGGTTATCGTGCTGATGGATGGTTAGGTTTATTAATTGGTAGTCGAATCTATGTAGATTTTAGTCGATTAGAATTTAATAAAGCATGTGCAATACTTTTAAAAGAAATGACATTACAAAAAGAAAGTCAACTCAATAATAATCCAATTGATAATCATACTTTACATGAAAGTCAATTAAATTTAACAAAACAAACAACGTTTGATAATAACAAATCATTAACATCAAAAGCAATTGAAACTAAAGAAAAACCAAAGTTACCTAGTGAATATTTAAATCGTAATACAATGAAATCAACATATTCTTCAAATTCAATTAAACAATGGACACAACAAGATGTACTAGATTTTTTATACGATTCAAATTTTCATTATATGATGCCATTATGTGAATTCATGACAGGTCATGGATTATTAAAACTTTTTCAAATGTGTCTAACATCACCAAGTCGTTTTTATATTCAATTAAATGAAGAATTAACTTCACGATTTAATGGTTTACGTTTACCTATTGGTATCTTTACACAATTTCTTAGTGAAATAGATCAATTAACTAGTTCATCATCAATATCTAACATAGAAGCTATTGAACAAGATGCACTTCAGTCTACATCTGTTTTACCATCATCGTCATCACCACCTCCAGTTATTGTTAAAAGTAGTCTAAATAAATCTGGTTCTACTTCATTATTAGGATCACCAATTCAATCAATAGTCCAACATAGTCCTATATTATCTCCACAGGAAATAGTATCACGTACTCTTACAGCAGTTAAAACATCATGTAATGTTCATATTACCGAACGAACTACCTATTGAACAGAATCCATCACTAGTCTAATAATTAATCATGTTGTTTAATCATCTGTTCCATTGAAATATATTGGATCCTATGAACCAAAACTAATTCTTAATAAGAAGCAAAGACATCAAAATAAATTTACTAATATTAATTCATATCAAAGAATATTATAAATGGATGGTACGAATTCATTATGAAAAAAAACAATATCTTCGTAACGTGAACTAGAGAAATAAATAAAAAAATGTACAAATAAAAACTTCTATCATTTTTTTTATCGGATTTTCAGATATTTGTCAATTTTTTATTTGATGATAACTCAGATAAGAATTTCAAATTTTCATTATGTAAGTGAAAAGGATATCAAAGTTCTTTATTTAAGTTAAATTGGGGATGAAGTGTTTTACAGTTCTGTTAGTATTTTATGAAACACGGTCTAAAAGGAGTGTAAAAGTATATAGGGTAGAAATTTATACTCCCTACAATTACTGACAGACATTATCATGGAAACGTTACATATAACGACAGACGTTGGGTACCAATAACATCTCATGATAAAATACGAGCTACTTATTTAACGCATTTCTGTAGGATTCATTAAAAGAATGGTGAAGAACTGGATCTCAGAATAGATAGAATAAAACAATCTCCATGTAATTAGCAACGACAACTACATCGTATTTGATATTTCAATCGCACTGGAATTGCACTAACAGCTCTTTTTTTTAATATGTGAACACACAGTTTGAGAGAAAATTTGTTTAAGTCAATATCCTTATATATGTGATATTTAAATAAATGTTCAATTTCTCTACAGCACTTTCGATACTTTCAAATGTTAGAATAAAAATTTTATTCTTCAATCAATAGACCTTAAGCGCAGACACTTGTGAATGTGATAAACAAAGAAATTTAAAGTATCTAATGACAGTGGATAGATGGCAACAATATTTTCACGGATTTCTGGTTCGTTCTATTGATGATTTAACTGAAATGAGCATCGGCTCTTATTAACTAAGAAATAGCTAAATCAGATGCGCTTGAATATATGATGCACAATGGAGCTTTTTGTAAACAAATTGAAAAAGACAATACAGAACTTTTATGTAGAAGTATTCAATTACGACATAGAAATATTACAAAGCATGATGCTTCCATTAAATACTTTTTTTTACATGGAAACGGAGCAAAAGATGCTTGCATTGTTGTTTATATATTGTGTCTGCTTTCTGGTATTTCGATAATGCAAATTACCATAATAAAGTAATAAATCATCCTGATCGATCGTTTCATGACATGCTCATTGATGATGTCGATTATTTGTTTTCTGTTTCAAGTGAAGACGAAGATAATCCTAGAAAAAAAAGAAGAATCACTGTTGAACAATTTCTAGTACTGATGTTTCAATGTTTATTTTAGCGCTTTCAAATTTATCACGGTCATTCTCTTTTTGTTATAAAAAATTTATGCTTAGGTCAGAGTGATGTTTCATAATTTCTGCTAACCATTAATATTGAATATGTATATCCTTTCTGTGTATCTTATCCTTGTTTAAATACGATGAATATTAACAAACATTTGCAGACAAGCTTCTTTCTGAAATGATGGAATCATTCCATCATCAAAGAATTTCTACCTGTATACAACCTTACAAATGAAACAGATCGCACTAAAAAAAAAGATTTTCTCAATTTGTCTTGTCGTTAAAATGGCTCATTACTTCATGTTTTTCTTGCAACAAGAGCGTATATCAACTTTTAGTCATAAGATTAGGTACTATAACAGACGTGACATTCGCTTTCAAGAATCTCATAATGTCAGTATGTGGATCTAATTCTGTTGCAATCGACTGGAGCTCAGTATTGGTTGTTTGGGAAAATGCTTACCAAACCTCTGTAAACTTTGACATAGAGCGTGAATGAATCAAAGTTTTTCTTAAAAGTTTTTGCAAGAACTATAGAGTTAATTTCACCTAAACTTGTTTCCGGGAAATCAAACAGTGGTATCTTCAAATTTCTCGGTCGATTCAGTTACAATTGATTTCACAAGCGAATACTTTTGAAAAGTCATAGCGATCTATCATTATCAAACATAAAGGCGTTGTATTAGCGAAGTAAAAGAATACGTTTGTTTCCCCTGGAAAATCAGAAGATGTAATAAAAGATTAGTGTTTTCCTTGGCATCTCTCTACTCGGATTGTGAGTATGGAAAGACTGATACATAGGGCTAGAAGGTTTTTTTTATTCTATCTTTATGACTATACTTTTATCACATAAATCTGACATCTATCTTCAGTCGGGAATTTGAAGACTAATTAATTAATATCATATGATTAGAGAAACATATATACTCTTCTGCTTTTCTTTTCTTTTTTTTTATCGACGATACAAAGAAGTTATCTAAAAGCTTTCTCTGTTTTATATTGTTTTTGATCTTTTACAATTTTGTGATTAGCTTCTAATTTATTACTTAAATGTATGAAAAGGAGTAAAGTATTTCATTATTTCACAAAAATAGTCAAAAACTCCATAATAAAAACTATTTATTGCATATGACCGTACATCTATTGTCAATACAAATAAAACAATTTTGTTAGATAAAACTGCCCATGTCGTTCTTTTTTTAAAGAAGCGCCGTTATAGCGCCAAAACGGCATAAAGCGGCGTTATTGAGTAGAATAACGATGCTATTATTGCAATATCAATAGCGCTCTATGCGACACAATAGTGGCACAGCAATATATTGACGCTATGGTCACAATACATTTCTACGCTGAATAACGCACATGTAATGCTGAGCATTAGAATGTTCAATTTTCTAAATGTGACTGATCAACAGGTACGTTGACTTATAGAATTCCACGATAATGTTGTTGACTGATTTAATATTTTTTTGACATTATACGTATGACTTTGAAATAAGCTGAAAAAATGACTTAATATTTAGCCACTAAAATATTAACGGTTTCATCAATTGATTGTTTATTTTTCAGGGTTGGTTATTTTATTGAAACTTACTGGAAGAGTTTGATGATCAACAATCATCACACCAATAGAAATAAAACCTCAAAATGTACAGAACGACTGGTAATAACCATGTGCTGTTTTATTTAAATATTTTTTCAATTCTTGTTGCCATTGATAAAATGCCAAATATTGGAAGCGCGAAACATTCATTTAATGACACTCTCCATTGAATAGAAAACGCTAAAATTAATTATCAACAAAACAAATAATTCTCGTTCTATAAAACATGATTATATCAATTGTTCTACTTTCCAGTTTCATATTCATACTACTTGTCGTATAACAATGAGTCTTTTTTTTATACTTTTAATTGGAAGGTGATTGTAGCTATCACTTTCAATTACTCTACCATCATAATTTATATTTATTTTTTAAACATTTAATTGAGACACATTTCTATAGAAACACCTTTCTCGTTCAGTTTTGATGATAAAATACACGATAACCAAATAACACGTGTACAGTCGCTTATGTGTGTATTCCTTTTTATCTGTTTGTCTTATAAATATATTACGGAAGAAGATGAACTTTGACTCATCTCGTCCATTGCTACCGTCTTATTTCTCTTTCTATACTCTTCTTATAAAAGAAAGAAAAAAAATGTATATATCGACGATTATACAATCGTGAATTTGTTGTCTGATTTTTATTGTAAAGCATCGAAGAAGAAAGGTAATGCTATCGATACGTCTGTGAATTCAATATTTTGTAAATAAATACACATTTTTTTGGGAAACTAACTGAAGCTGTAAGAAAGCAGCTACGAAATAAAAGTGCGTAGAACATATTATTTACATGTTAATTTGCACCAGTATAATTTTGAGATAGAATTAAAAATAAAACAACATAGACAATTATGCATAGCAATACAATGCGAAATAAATAGAAAACTACTTGCCAGTGAAGGGTCCATCATTGACGAAAAAAAACGAAAACTGAATTTTAATGATCACTTACACTTGTAGAAGCATAATGAATAATTTTTTCTTTCTAGAATTCTTTCGTACATGAAAAAAATACTATGCATGATGAATAATGTAAATTAAATATTTATATATAGCTGCGGAGTTCTTGCAGTTATTTTCACTTAAGTTCGATGTATCATGCGAATGAAAATTCACACCCTGTTCTCTTTTATTTCCCTATATTTAGGATGTAGTTTTCTTCAAGGATCAGACACTATTGATCCTAACCATAATGGCTTTTTATTTGATGCGGTAAGTGCACCATTGTTCTTCGACTTCTTATTATCAATTTAGATGTTCACATAATCTGGTGTTTATTCAGTTATCTATTTACTAAAGATTGTATGGATGGAAAAATCGACTATTTATTTAAACCTATGGTAGGTTTATCGTGAAGCTTATATGATAGTAAATTTGATTTGTACAAATGTTCACAAATTAGATTAATCAAAACATGGTAATTTTTCATTTTTATTGATCAATTTTACATTAATAATTTCTTATATTCTAGCAGGCACGTTACGCAAATTTTAATTAATTAATGGTTCGTTCGGACTAATATGCAACGACAAATTTCACCGATCCTTTTTCTTGATAAACAGAATAACGGTTCATTAAATAAGACCTTCGGAAGGTTCTTTATGCGCTTCATTCGTATCTTTAAAAATGTTTTTTTTTTCTGTATCAATCTTGTTTCTCTTTAAATAATATGTAACATTTAAAATAGTTGTTATTAGTTGTAAGTTCTTTTATGATCGAATAAAAGTTCAAAACTATCATCTCTATGTTAAACGTATTTTTCAATTACGGCTATAAATATAGATAGTACGATCTACTAAGAGGAGTGATATATTTAAGTATCGAAATACTGAAAAATGCTCCAATATAGCGCGTAATATTGATTTGTTGCCGTGATATCGCGTTATAGCGGAAATAGCGCAGCGCTAAAAGTGGTAACAGTGCGATCGCGATAGTGGCGTTATTACGCCGCTACTTAACCGTTATCGATGACGTGGGTCCACATCCAGAGAGAGATGAAAGAAGATAGAGAATATCGCACGGATAGTGAATATGTAAGGTGCCAGTAATGCAAAGTTTCCACAAAATTTTTTTTTTCTTTTTTCACATATATTCTGATTCGTCCTGAGTTGCTGATCACGAATATCCCCTTATTTTTTGATTTAGGTCAAGTATTCATAGAGAACCACTCAAAATACTGAGTGGTAGTCAAAAACATGAAAATGACCTCCTTGCCAGAAACAATGCTATAACTATTTTTTTACTCAAGG